AGTTTTTCTCTGTTAATCTGTTGGTTTATTTGAATCAGAATCCAAAAAGTACATACATTGCATTTGATTCACAGATCTTACATCTCTTTTATAACCGCCCCCTTCGTCCCCCACCCCATGCCATTTATTTGTTCTGGGTTTAGTTAATTGTTCTTTTAACATATCCATTATATTGTCTGTAAACTGGTAGTTAGATCTAGAATACTGATTACATTCAGATTAATCCTTTGGTAAGAATGTTTTACAAGTAGAGCTGCGTACTTACCACATCAGGAAGTATATAATATCTGGTTGTCCCACTTTTAGTGACAAAGGCTTATCAGTCGTCTCAGATGGTATCAGCATGACCCACCCATGACAAAGTTCCCAACCAGTCTTCACCTGGGGATTTTAGCAGCCACTGAGGACATCATTTTTTACTGTAGATAGATTTGTTACAGATTTACAAATTTTATGATCAAGTAGCATTTACTTTCCTGTATACTTCAGGAGTTAGCAAATCCTGTGTGACTTCTTCTAAGATTTTCAGTCAATTTTTATAATTAGTTGAGTTGGGGATATTTACTAGATGACCTGAAATTGTTCTTTCAACACCTAGATTATAACAACACAGTGGTTTAGAGTGGGTTTGAATAATACTTTACTCAATCTGTTGATGAATGAATCAGATCCCTATACACCAAAGTAAACAGTTTGGAATATTGGCAGTTTTCATAATAAGGGCTGTCTTTGAGGACAGCCTCCCTTAATAGCTACAAGAACCCATTACAGAAGTAGGTTGCATTTTGAGAGCTTGCTAGCTTTTCTTTGTTTAGGCTGTGCAGATCTGTTCTGTTGCCTTTCTTCATAATGTCATGTTATTGTTCTGGGATGCACAGGTCACTAATAAAGAAGTCACACAAGTATTTTGCCAGCTTTGGAGAGCAGAGAAACACCACATTGTTTCTGTTTGTTTTCTTTCAGCTTGCTTTTCTCTATTCTTGAATAATGTCTTTAAATTTTCTTTAAGTTTGGTAAGGGCAGAGGCTTTGTCTGCCTGATTCATCATTTTTACAGTATTGTTAAAGTACCACAACCATCTCTGTGGCACTCCCAGGCTGTGCTAATAAAGCAATAACTAACTTTAGTCTTGAACCCCTGGGATTGTGCTTCAATCCAAGTACATTCTCAGTTGCGTAGAAGTTATCTCCCTAGTAATCAAATGAGAACTCAAATGATATACTAAAAAGATGTGCTTAGCTTAATTGTTATTTTTAATTACTTGGCTCTGGATTTTTTTGTTGTTAGTTCGTATGAAAGCCCACCTCTAGTTGTTCATTATTCTATTTTTGTTAAAATGTAGGTTACCCTCAATGTAACTCCCTAATTAATGTGTGGACATTGTCAAACTATGAAAGTGTCGGTTCAGAAATTCTGCTTAGCAGTATGCTGTGGAGAGGTAACCTGTCAGGTCACTCTTTCTCATACTGCTGCTCCAGGTTACTTGCTTACCTGTCTGTGTTGACATTAGACTTCTTTGCCCAGCCTTGACCTATTTGACTTTTGAGAACATCTTGAAAACAGTTCTAAATAACAAGTTGCTGTTTTATGTTTGCATTGTGCCTACTGACCCTATCATGTAATAGTGAAATGTTGAAGATGCCTATTTTATATAATTATTTCCTATGATATTTAGTGTGCTTTGTTTTTTGTTATTACTCAATAGGATACAAATAGTTGGATTTTTGGCTGCATAAACAGCACTTCTATGTGGTAAGTGTTTTGAACAACGCCTTCCTTTGTTGATTTTTCTCAATCTAAAATAATATTCAAATCACACCGTCAGAATAGCTTCAGACATTCTTAAATAAGGTCATTTTGCTACTATACTAAATTATAATATTGATTTTAAAATTAAAAATGAAGAAAATTAACATACTAATATTTGCAAACACTGATAGTTGGTTGCTAGGAAAAACAATTTTTTGTTCTCAAAGGGAGTATTTGGATAAAGAATATTAAATTAGACTTATTAGACTTCAGTTCATTAGAACTCACTCTGATAGTTCTGTAGATGGTTCTGTAGTGTTTTTTACTTCTAAAGCTTGGTTATAATACTTTAATATATTTGTTCTTTAATTATATTTTCATGTTTATTTCGAAGCCGGCAAGGGGTTGATTTATCATGGAAAGCTGAGCTGCTGCCAACAATTAAGGTAAGTTATGGCTTTTAGAATGTTAATATCCAGGTGAAAAAAATACTTGAGCCTAACGGCATTATAGAATATGTTCTTTCTTTTTTTAAATTCAACTACAGTTTTATTTATTTTGTCTTATTTTGTGCTTATTCATTCATGTGGCTTTGTATTTATGAGACAAAATAAGTGATTTGACTTATATAAACATTTGTTAAGGTCTCTCGCTGGTTCTATCCTAACTATCTAAGCAGAAGCAAAGCAAACAAAAGAATTAGGATATACTTACTGATCAAGCATTCATAAGGTGTATTAAATATTTCCTTGAGTTTCCAGTTTGGGTATTCTATCCAGTGTGTAGTTTAAGAGTTGGAAAGAAATAAATGATTAAAAACCTGATAAACTGTTACTTTGCTACTATTTTTTAAAAAGTTATTTCTTAAATTATAAAATCCTTATATATATTTTTTTAATCTCAAAGATTAAGCAGTGTATTCAAATAGTTCTAGGCCCCTGTGTTGTTTGTTCTAAATGCAAGAAACAGCTACTGAGCAGTAGGAGAACAAGTCATTCCGGCTGCTTACTTTTTATAGCGGATACCAGACGAGAGGGCCAAAGTGCAGATACTTTTCCATTCTAATGAAAATCAAAATTATATATATGTGTTTATTAGCCTTTTATAAAAAGCACACAAAATTATCTTGCCATGAAGTTGAAGGGAAACGAAAGATTAAAGCAAACATTTTGTGGGTTTTATTCATATTTATATCATCTCAACAAAAGTCCTGTCGGATGAGAGTCACACCACTTTTGGCGGCTCTGCTGACTGAACTGTCAGTAGCTGGAGTCCTGCAGCAAAGCACTTCAGGGCCTTCACAGCGCTGGTCACATGGAACTCTTCTGTCATGGCGCAGGAAAGAAGGTTCTAAGACACACATACACCACAGCAGGACAAGAATTTGGTGAGCCCAAATGGACTTACTGCTAGCAACAAACAAACAATTAATTTTGAAAAGAAATCTTAAGTTATGTGAGAAAAACTACCTGGTCACTATTTTGCCTAAATCATACTTAAGCACCACAGCTTTGCCCTATGCACAGCAGCAGAACTTGAAGGGTTTCTGACATCCACACACTGGTGTTTGATTTCCTGTGTGTGTTGCCTCATTATTAAGGCCATTTTATCCTTAAAACACTGAAAAATTTCCAAACTTCGTATTAACCTTACCTGCCAACATAACAATTTCATGAATATGATATTGCCAAATTCCTGCTGACATTATAACTATCTGGGAACTTAACTTTATAAGGAAATGTATTTTGACACTGTTATCTTATTAAAGTATTCTGATCCTAAAAAAAAAATCTTGAGAAAAGAAATTCTTCTTTTTTTTTTTTTTTCAGTGGGGAGGAATTAAGTTTATTTATTTATTTCTTAATGGAGGTACTGGGAATTGAACCCAGGACCTCATGCATGCTAAGCACACACTTTACCACTGAGCAATACCCTCCCTAAGAAATTATTATTGAGAATAAATAACAACAGCTCTAATAGTGGGTAGCCACACAGAGTAACCATGGTTCTTTCTAACTAATCTTTCATGCTGTTGACTGTCTGGTTGGTTTCAGTTCCCTGTAGCTTTGGTTTGTGTGGCCCTTCTAAGACCCTTTCATTTACATGAGAACATGTAAGTCCACTACAGAGACTCTGCTGAGTAAATTGAGGTGCAGCCCAGAAGCTTAACAAGCACTCCCAGGTAAATCTGTTCAGGTTGTTCGACGGCCACTAGTTGACAGTTCTTTAACTTCAGAACCTCTGTCCAACTTGCCCGCATTGGTGCTTCTGAAGAACAATGGAGTGTTAAGTGCAGAAGTTTCTTAATGCATATAGATTGTTACAGCATATAACCACTCCTACCCCCACATCTACTTTCAGAAGAAAAACCAACTTGAAAACTGTATTTGGTGGCCTGGCTTTTCATTAAACAGACCAGTCTCCTATCTGCTCATTCTTCAAAATGTAGACTATAAAATATGGTCTTAATTTTGACAAGGGAATAGATGTACATTTAGTGAGGTGCATTATTAGATTTATTGCATCTTCATGTTATTTACTGAGTAAGTTCCAGGGGATGATGTTCTTACACGTCATGAGCCAGCAGCTGTTTATTACTTGGGCTAGATCAGAATCATTTGAGATTAAGTTGCAATTCTTCCATCATTTTGAGCATCCATTCATTCATTAGCTCTTGAGTGCTCTTTGTCATATACTACCAAAATATAGAAATCATACTGCAAAAGTATACAAAACAAATAGACAAATTGTAGAAGATACCTGGCAATAATTATGTAAAATAATTAAATTTAGTGTTGAATGTCGTTTGTTTTACATGAAGGGTTGATACAGCTCAAGGAATATTTCTGGCAGTCCATATTTACATAATTATTAGGAATTTGACTTAGAAGGATCATTGACCTGAAATTGTAAACATGGGCATTTTATGAATTACTGAACATAAAGTTTGAAATCAGTTTTTTCATAACTTATTAAGTAAGAAATAAGTGCTTCTAATTTATCTTTTAGTATGCTTTAATCTGTATATAAAGAAATAAATCAGCTTTTTTTCCCATCTTTTTTTAGTCTCTGACATTAAGACTTCAAGACTATCCATCTCTGTCTCATCTTGTTGTTTATGTACCATCTATTCATGGAAGCAAGGTAATAAATTAAGGTTGTTATCAGAATATTTTGGGGATACTCATGCTAAATATTTGAGTTGCTTTTTGATGAATTCTTCATCTTAGGGCTAATCTAAACCAGTGGCCAGTTTGGGGATCCTCCTAAGACTGTATAAATCATTAGAATCATCTACTCTAACTTGAACTAAGCAGAATAAATCCAAGTCTCATTATTTCAAGTGAGAATTAATTCTACTTTATCTAACAGTCTTTCAAAATCTTTTAATTATTGAGTAAGACTCTGCCAGGAATTACACGAGGCACACAGACAGAGAAGACATGTACCTGTTCTCAAAAAGCTACATACTGTCGGGTAGGGTGAGAGAAATGTACCTGGTAGCCAGTGGAAGAGTGAGAATTACAGAGGTCCCCAAAAATGTGTAATACAAATCAGAATTTAGCAAATACATGAAAAGTGTTAAAGGGAAAGGTATCTCTGATTGATGAGACCAATAAAGGCTTTATTATGAGATGATATTTAAAATTATCTTAAAGGATAGTTGGAGTTTTTATATGAACATTCTAGACCTGGGCTATCCAGTATGAGAACCACTAGCACATGTGGCTATTTCAGTTTAAATTGATTAAAATTAAAGTAAAAATTCCGTTCCTTAGTTGCATTGCAGTGCTCAATAGTTACATTGCAGAAAGTTCTAATGAACAGCACTGTTGAGACAAAGAAATAGTGAGATCCAAACATGGAAGGTATGGGATGTATTTGGAAAATAGTGAATAAGTTATTAGTGATTGTAAAAGGGTGGCAACCGTTGATAGAACAGTAGTGGAAGAAAAGACTGGAAGAGTAGTTCATTGCCACATTGTGGAAGGCCTTGAATGGAAGATTCAGGACTTCATATAATTCAGTCAGTAGGGAG